GTGTGTATGTGTGTCTGTGCGTGCGTCTGTAACGAGTTTTCATCTCGAGATCCACAAAAGCTACAAAGCTGAAAATTTGGTAACTTAATCTACACATACGTGTGGGCTCGTATCCTCGAAACGGACGCTCAGGTCCGCATGGTTCTCACATATGGGCACGTGAAAGTTTTTTTGGCGGGAAAGCGTTCTCGGGAGCGGCCCATGCTAGGAGGCTGGAACTTCACAGAGTTGTTCCATGGCCGCGTCTAATCCAAAGATTTCAAATTCAGCCTTCATGCACCCTCAGGATTCACGTATGCACACGTTAAAGTTTAAACTGGCATCATACCAACTACAAATTTGAGATGATCAATAAGCTGCAAAGAGCTACGGTTTTGCAGCTTTACTTGTTGCCCACTGTTATGTCCGTGAAAGTGAATTACTTGTCAGCTCTTCTGCATCTCACGTACGAACACGTGTACACAAGTGAAATTTGGCGTAACTCCGCAACCAGAGCAGCTGGAGTGCTGAAACTTTCTGAGCATTACCCAGAGCCGTGTTTGAGTAACCGCAAGCAAAGAAAGCATTCACTTTACGATTCACGTACGACCACGTGAAATTTGACGTAACTCTACAACCAGAGCAGCTTGAGTACTGAAACTTTTTGAGCGCTACCTAGGGCCGTTTTTATGTAACCCCAAGCGAAGTAAACACACACGTTGTTACTCATGTACGAACACGTGGAATTTGGCGCAACTCCGCAACCGAAACATCCAGAGCGCTGAATTTTTTGGGCATGGATTGGGAGTCACTGTAATAATTTCTAACAGTCATAATGGCCAGTCACAATTCTTTTAACTAGAAGCATCTGCCGGAAAGACGTGCCACTGGTGAAAAAAACCTGCGGGAAACTGCGCAAAAAACGTATCTTTGTACCGACAGCCGGTACGCTTTCGACTAAGTTTTAAGTTTTATTAAAATCGATCTTGTTCAATGAGCAAAATTAGGCTGCAACCTTTTTGCAGTCTTATCTTCTTTCATTTTCCAATTCATATCTTCTCAGGAATTTTTTCTGCCTGTGCTACTTCTACAGATATTCCATCGTTCCTTTATGAGTCTTTAAAAAATCTGAAAAACAAAACTTCCAGTGAAAATCTTCAGGCGTTGAAAGAGCTCAAAAGAGAACAGAAATTCTCGAAATGAATGATCACAGTGATTCCAATCAATCAAAATTTCTGTGCCAAATTCAGTTTAATACTTGAAAACGTCTGTTCCGAAGGCCGAAGGTCTTGACATAGCTGCGTTCAGAGGCTGAATGCATCTCAGTAACATCACTAACATCGGACCCCCACACCGACTGTTCGGGCAGTCATTGTCATGATTTGCATAGCACCAAAAAATTTTGGAAAAAATTTGGAATTTTTTACACCTTAAACACTTTTAAAGTGTTTTAAGAAATTTTCAGTAATTGATACAACAACTCCATCGCTGACTACAACGGGACGCAATTACGCTGGGGAATTTGAAAAGCAGCAGCGATATGCATCCCGACCTTCGGAACAAGTGCAGCTTCCGGATGATCAGGCTGTGAGGTACGAAGAAACCTCATCCAGCGGACACATTCAACTCCAGAAGAGCAAAGAACCTCGTTAGTTTTTACGTAAATCTTGTTGAAAATGTATCCTGACTGCGTTTTAACATACCTGCACTAACTTTTCATCAAAATGAGCGAAGGAATTGTGGAAAGATTGGACAAATTTATCTTTCCGTCAGGGCAATTTTACCTTTCTTGTACTGAATGAAATTTAAAAGAAAATACGAATTGAGATGGGCCGGGCAAGTTTATTTTTCTGTCAGGGCAAGTTTACCTTTCTCGAGTCCAATAAAATTTTAGAAAAACACTCTAATCTGGGACTAAACAAATCATTTACTAACGTCTTCGCCAGTGCGCGATTAGAAAGATTGTTTCCGCTGTCAAGAAAACTAATATACAGTATCTATACATCATCACGGTTCTGTCTTTGTCGGCCTTTCTACAAAATCAATGTAGAATTATTAAACGTTGGATTCTTAAAAAATTCTTCTCTACTGCTAATTTTCATTGCCAAAGCAATCGGAAG